ACGAGGGACTCAACGTGTTAAGAGATATGAGCAGCAAAAATTCCAAAAAAACAATTTAAGTTTTCATGCCCGGGAGCAGATTTCCACCTGCGATCAATAAGAAATCACCTGAAGGAGGAGGGGTGAGTGGGCTGCTCAAAGGGTGCGGGCCGGTGTGATTACTACTGCCACCTTATAGAAATAAACTCAGTAGTGCGCAAACACACAGCCGCACTACTGCTGCCGGTGCGCGCTACACACACGCACGCACGCACGCACGCACACACACACACACACACACACACACACACACACACTATTGTGTGTTGATGCAGCAGGCTGGTCCCGCGGCCGCAGTTTTGTAGAGCACCTTTCCCTGATTGAAATCGCCTCGCTCGCGGCCCCATCTCGCGCTCGAACAGCAGCAGCCGCTTTACTTAAAATTGAGCAGGAGAAGAGGAAAATACATATTTTTTCCCTCGCAGCCACCGCCACGGCGGCGGCTCGGCCGGGCGCTCTCTATGAGACCACGGCCTCTGGGGCCGCCGGCGGCGCGTGTGAACGCTGTGTGTTTTATGGCGACGGACCACGCCCCTGAGGAGGAGGAGGAGGAGAGCCTGGAGGGAGAGGAAAAGAAGACACGGGCACACCAGGGGGGGCGCCGCCGCCAGGCGAAAAGGCCGACCAAAACGGCCAAAGTTTCTGCAAATTGCGCACACCAATATAACGATAACAATAACCGCCCAAGAGGACGCCCGGCGGCATAGCGGCAGGATGGGCCCTGGCCCTGGAGGATCATACACCGACAGCCGACCGAGGAAAGAAGGGGCCCTTTGTTTTATCTACGTTGTTATTGAGGATTGCACCCCCTTACATGCCATCCAGATTCTACAACACGCTCACCACACACACACACACACACACACACACACACACACACACACACACACGAGTGATTCCCGTCTGTAACACACACGTGCACCCACATACACAGAGCCACATACCAAAGACCTCTACATGCGCAATTAGCCTTATGATAATGCCCCCGAAAACACGCCCAGTGCTGTGTGAATTGTTTGTTCACATTACGCGCAGGCCGCGGGGCTGGGCGGGGCGGGGTGGGGAATGCCGCGCTGAGCTGCGCCATGCTCTTCCCAGCCTGATGCTCGTTTCGAATCCTAGCCTCACGGAAAGGCAAAGTGGACACGGT